CTTCCTGTTTCACCGGAAATGACTACAACTTTTGATTTTTAAATGGCACTCTCGGTATTTTTTTACTTTATTCGATAGAAAATTACATTCTGGATAGAATGTCATATCATATGTCAACTTTTAACATTTTCGCTTAATAAAAAATTGTATTTTCAAATTCAATCTAGAGTGCCATGGCTATGTTAAAAATACTAATTCTTCATCAAGGACATCACACACTTGGTTTCAAGTCAAATTTTCGTTACAAACCGCAAGTTATACTTTCAAATAAACCATATGCAAAAAAGTTGACATATGATGCGTTATTCTATTCAGAGTGACATTTTCTATCGAATAAAGTAAAAAAATCCCGGGGTGCCATTTAAAAATCAAAAGTTGTAGTAATTTCCGGTGAAACCGGAAGTGACCCAAAAAAACAATTGACTACGTCAATCAATCCTAATTTATGTCACATGCTAACATACCAAATCTTGTTTTTTTAACTAAAAAAATAAAGAAAAGTTAAAGGGGTGGGCCACTTTTGAGACGAACCCGGTATAATGTAAGTAACATTAAAGCAATCTATTGATGCGCATTCGAGCTATTTTATGAGGTTCTTTAAGATTTATGGAGAATAAATTAATAATGCAAAAGATACATTCTGACATATGCTATGCGACAACTGTTTACAAAAGTCAAAAATTAAAGAAATTATCTTTGCTCATGCAAAAGTCGGGTTAAATAAATACATATAAAGTAAAATTAAATAGAAAAGTTATTCAGAATTTTATTTTATAGATAATATAATTTTGATTTAAAAATAAAATGTTTACTCAAAATTTCTGAACTGCGCCCCTGCAGCTGTCGTTTTGTCGTTTTAAGTAGAACATTAACATAACAAAATTACTATCTCAGTCAAAATAAACAAATACCGTTAAACTAAAAACCGCACAGCATTTTTGTACGACAAAGATGGTTCGCTGAACCGAATAAAAATATTTCAAGCATGAGTCTAGTCTTCTGACCCATATTTCATTGGAGTATGTAGAGTAGCAATTGTTGATACTACTTATTCAAGTATGCGTGTCGTATAATTTTAATATTTTAATGACATTTTTAAATTATGAATATGCCATGGGATAATATGCATTGACAAAGTTTTTTCATTAATCTTTTTTGTAGGACAGAGCGGTATGATTAACAGGTATCATTATAAGAACATGTTATTACAGTTTGATATAGTATTGAAAAGATCCAACACGACCATTACAATGCATAACCGCTAGAATAGTTTCTCATCAATATGCCCAACCTTGTTGGTTCAATTTTGTGTATATACTTAATATTTATCATAATTACTCATAAACAAAGTTATTATATTATTTTTATTTTTATAGCTAATATTTTGTATTACAAACTAGCAGAAAACACACATTCAAGATCACTTTTTGTTTAAAATTAATATTGATATGGCATTGCAAAAAAGCGGTTATATAGCCTAGTGTCTGACTAAGTACCAGTTTCCAATATATGATTATTTCAGAAGATACTACAACCGGTACAAGTAATGTAACGTCTTATTTATTTTATAATTGTAAGGTCAGTGGATATCCAAAAACTAGTTAACACAATGATAATATTTGTAGGGTAGTACTAAGAATTTGCAGCCAATGTAATAATTTTCAAAAATGAAACATCTTATATATATATATATATATATATATATATATATATACACATATACACATATATACACATATATATACATATATATATATATATATATATATATATATATATATATATATATATATATATATATATATATATATATATATATATATATATATATATAAAGATGTTACTATTAAATAGAATTTCAACACTAACGCCGAACTGTTGAATATATCTACAATGAACTTTAAATATTACTCTTACTATTTCAACTTAGTGACTCTACTATGAGATCAGACTGTGGACAATACTACAAAAGCTTTTTAAACAATTCATTAAAATATTAAAAAGTTCTATTGTTAAAGAAGAAGTAATGAAATCGCAAAAATGACGTAATGAAAAATCGTAAAAGTATGACGTCATAATCCCCCATGAACATAAGTACAATATCCTGGGGGCATTACAGTAAGTAAAGTAAAGTAAAGGTTTCAGTTAACGTCTCCTTTTTGCTGCCAGGGCTAATCTAGGCGGGGCCTACTTTGTTTACGCGGAATCCGAACCGCGGTCCTCGGCCATATCATGGTCGAGGAAGGACCGAGGAAGGACCGACTTAGGAAGTGTCTAAATTAACTCTTACTCACGAGATATCCGATCTCATCCGGCCTCGAACCGGCGTGAATGAGCAGTGTGTATCAATAGATTTTACACTTTTCCCTTGGACAACAGCACGATACAGAGTTTCGAACTGGTCACCCGTCCATCCACCAGTATCGCCTTACGTCGCTTAACTTCGGTGTTCTAATGGGAACCGATGTTTCAACCTAGCTAGGCCGTTGCCTTGGGCGCATTACAAATATCATATTTAAATTAAGCTAAAATTATATAGTATACAGTCTTACTCTACAGTGCAATTTCTTGAAAATTTCTCAACTTAACTACGGTGAATAGATGTGATGTACGGTGGTGTATAACTACGATGAATATAGATAGCTATGATGTAAAGCTACTGGGTTGATACGACGGTGTTCTGCAACTCGGTGAATTCCATGTCAAAAAAGATAAAAGTTTGGTAACTTTTCCACTAATTAAAAATTCCTATTACTAATTTTAACGTTCTGAATGCTTACATTCACAGACGAACAAACTTCTACGCTAATCCAAACCACTAATTTATTCCACTAACTGCGAGGTTCAGCTTAACAGTTTAAATGTTTGGAATTAAGATATTTTTCTAATTTTATAGTACACCTTAATTTTTAAACCATTAAAATAAGAGCAGGAGTTCTATTTGAATTTCCGTTCCTAATACTGAAAATGTGGAACTCTGTTAACTAGTTGTCCCTAATTACATGTAGAAAATCTGTAATAAAGGTTTAAATTGCGCATGTATTTTGTTACAGCTTTTTGGTTACATAAGTGTAAACGGTGTTCTACTTCCCTCTGTTTAAATCCGTCCACGTTAATACATAATTTGCGTTAGAAAAATATACTAATTGCATTCTGCCTCGGTATTCATTAGGTACAGTTAGAACGAAATGTATGTAACCTATTTACCTTGTACTGAACTTAGACCGTATTTCCTTTGTTTAAATTATAGTCTTCAAGAATAATTTTAATGCATCAATTTTTTTGACCAAGTGACCTCTTCCGATTGTTACCCTTTTTGACAGAATTGAACACAACTGGTGGCTGTCCACTTATTAGAAGCAGTTTAACAAATGGTAGAATATTTAATTTTATGAAGAAAATTTCATACCAACGTATTTGTGCGTTTCATTAGTTTTTAGTTTTTTAAACGGGCTTGGGATTATTATATACATATTTTGCAAAAATAAATAGTTTGTTTTTTCAATTCACTCTTCAATATCGCTTGTTTAATTGTGGTCAACGTGTAGCTAAAAACGGTTCATTTTTAATTATCTATGCTAATATATAAAATCCTTAAGTGACTGTCATACTGATTAATCACGCGATCCTGCTCAAACCAATCAACGTAAGAAGCTCAATTTTGGCATACAGGTTGATTCTAGGGTGGAGAGGTTCGATAAGAAGGGATTTTTCGAAATTCCAGTTCTAAGAGGGTGAAACCACCCCTCCAATATTACAATATTTTTTATTTAAAAAATTGTCAAGTTTCCGAAAAAACGCTTAAACACGTATATTTTATTTTGTTTTTTACATATTTTAAGATTTTTTAAAAATGTATACAGGGTGTTTCGAAAAATCAGGTCATTGATTAATCACGATCCTGCTTAAAGTGCTTGACGTAAAAAGCTGATTTTTGGAAAACAGATTGACTTTAGGGTGAGGTTCGATAAAAAGGGATTTTTCGAAACTCGAATTCTAAGGGGGTGAAACTATCCCTCAAATATTAAAATATTTTTTTATATAAAAACCGGTGAGTTTTTCGGAAAAATTCTTAAACACGTATATTTTATTTTGTTGTTTTACATATTTTAAGATTTTTTATAAATTTATACAGGGTATTTTGACCAAAATATGACCACTGAGTAATCACGATTCTGCTTAAACTACTTGACGTTTAAAGCTGATTTTTACCAAACAGATTGACTGTGGGGTGTAGAGGTTCGATAAGGAGGGGTTTCTCGAATCTCAAATTCTAAGAGGGTGAAAACTCCCCTCAAATATTACAATATTTGTTATTTAAAAAACGGTTAGTCTTTCGGGAAAACGCTTGGACAAGCATAATTTATTTGGTTCTTTTACATATTTTGAATTTTTTTAAAAAACCATACTGGGGGTTCCAAAAAGTTGGGTAATTTCTTAACCACGATTCTGCTTAAACTGCTTGACATAGAACGATTATTTTTGGCAAACGGATTTTTCGAAAGTGAAATTCCAACGAGATGAAACCCTCAAATATTACCAAGTTATATAATAATATCGCCATATTGTTTTTTTCTCATGCTGACATAAATGTGAGAAAAGTTTATCCAGTTTGTATGTTAATGGAGATTCTTGCTTTGCTTTATCATCACCATTACAAATGATTAATTCGACGCGAACGAAGTCGCTGGTACACGCTAGTATATAATATTTAACACAGTTTTGTTTATTTTATCGTTATTATATGATTACTGCAATGATGATATATGTTTTTAAAAACAAAAAAAAATTGAAAGAGATTATCAATTGAAATTAAGAGTCAAATATCCGCGCGCATATAGTCTTTATTTTTTTTTCGATATGCAATAATTGTTGCAGTAAATGCTGTAGTTCTCAAGAAAATATATTTTTAATGAAACATGTTTCACATTCTTGTTTGTATTTTAATTTATTAAACACTTTGTATGAACATTTCCTAATTAGGTTTCTTTTTTTTTCAGGTAACAATGAAGTGTTTAAGGACATTAAGTGTGTTTACAATGACTTTTTCAATAGCGTGGTCTATGGCTTTAGATTCAACATCTCCAAGGTATCTTGAAGACTCGACGCTACCTCGTAGTATTAGTATTGTTATTGATAAGTCTCAATTAAATTATAATCATAATACATCTCACATTTTAGATCTAAATTCTAGTTTAGATATTAAAAATAGTCAAAATAATTTATCTAGTACGACAATAAATCCAAAAGAAACTTATAAAGAAAGTTCAAATAGTGATTTAAATGAAAGTTTACTTTTATACAAAACTACACATCTTACTGATAATAACAAATACAATGAAAGTTCTGATATTGTTCAAAATAGTGAAAATTATCAATCCAGAAAACTAAAAACACATTCATCCAAATTTAAGGAAACCGCATTATTTCACAATTTTAAAACTAATACAATAAAAACTGTAAAACGAAATTCAACAAGGCATAAAACATCGGCAAAATATAAACTAAACAAGAAAAATGAGAATGTAACAGTAATAACACATAATAAGAAAGAACCTCACTCAAAGAAGCCAGTAAAAATGAAAGCAACTACATCTAAACCAATAAAACAGATGAAATTGTCTACGTTTGCTCCCATAACGATTATTTTAACTAAACCTACTACTACCAAACCTAGCGCTAACACACCAAAATACTACAAGCAAAAAACCTCTAAACGCCCTACGTTAAAACCAAAATTAACTACTATTAAACCAAATAAAAAAGCTAAGCCAACTATTAAAAATATTACTACAAAATTATCAGAAAATTCGAGCAATACTGCAAATTTAAAACAAAACTGGTACGAGGAAGGCGTACCATATCCAAATCCTATGCCTGAAATTAGTTCCAATTCCCCTCCTTTCTCAATATCAGATGCTGGTTCCCAAATTCTTAGCTCAACTATAGAAAATAGTTTTGTGGAAAATATAATCCCCAGTAATGTACCTATTGGAGCTATTAATCCCGAAATATCTACCAACAGTCCTTCAGAAGTATTACAAGGAGTACCGTCTATTTTGCCGCTTGCGGCTAATGACGATTCCGAATCAATCTCTGTACCAGCTGCAGACTCAAACTCAGAAAATGCTAACCCTCTTAGTAATGCCATAAGCACTTTTAATCTTGATTTGCTCCCATCATCGAGTTTAAATCGCGATGCAATCGGTGGTGGTAACGGTTGCCCAACGGTCCATATTTCAAGTTCCGTTCTATCGCCATCGGCTAGACAAGAATGCTCAGATTTAAGTTTGGTACTTAATACTCACTACCATCAGAATCAAAACGGACAAAATGGTAGGTTACCTCAAATCAGTACCTATGACGCAGATGGAGCAGACGGAGTACCAGTAGAAGCTGCTGCAGAAGACGTAATACCGGAAGATGCCGCTGTAGCAGATCCCGTACTTGCTGATGATGTAGCTAATGCCGGTGCTGTAGGCCCAGCTGATGATCTAGCTAATTCTGGTGCTGTTGGTGATCCTGGTAATGCAGGGGGTGTACCGGCAGGATCCAGTGGTGGTTCCAGTGGTGGATCCGGTGGTTCAGGTGGAAGTGGCTCAAATGGAAGCAACGGAGGTCTTCCAGAATTTAAGTTTCCAGATTTAAAGCATATGTTTGAAGCCATAGGCTACATCGCACGAGGACTTGGTTGGCTGTTAAGAAAACTTATGAATCCTTGGCTCTATATTATCCCAATTATTTTATTTTTTACTGTTGGATTTAAGTCTATTTTATTATTATTTCCATGGTGGATTCCACTCGTATTTCTCTATTTTAGCGTTAAAAGTGACGAACCGAAACCTTCTGTAACACACGTCAATCATCTCCATAAACCAGTATTGATTAAACATAAAGATGGATGGTTTTGGGATGAACACACTAATGATTGGAAAAAAATAGGACATCGGAGAAAAAGGAGACATATTCGTGGTGAAGGAACACCACTTGACTATGTCATAAGAAGTTTCAAAGAGAAGTTTTAAATCAGTAACAAAAAGCATAATTGACATTACATCAGTACAAATATGCAACTAATACCTGAGAATGCTTTGAACATTTTTTGAAGTCCATGTTGCCAAAATTATGGTTTATTTACAAAATCTTATGCAACAGTAAGTTATCAACAAGCGCTCGATGTTAATTTTTAGAAGGATGAAGGTACATTCAGGCTGAGTTCAATCTGAATTGTTTTTCGGCAAGATTTCTATTGTTCAGTGGTTGTCATGGCCGTCTGAGGACCAGCATCCAGGGGCTCTAATCACCGAAATACAGGACACAACACTATGGAATGCAAAATTGCTTCAATATAAAAATAGAAATCTGCATGATCGACTACTTAAAGAAATAGCTATAATTTTAGGTATTTCTAGTAAGTATTTTTTCACAGTACGAGTAAATATACGAGAGATTTCGAAATTCAAGATAAAAATTCTGATATTCGTCATGCAGATATCGTCTTCTTTTTATAGGGTGAATTTCTACTTTTTTGTCCATTCTTTTGAATGTAAAACATGGTGTTTCCAATAGTAACATTAGGCAAACTGCTCTCCTCGAAGCCATTTTACAAACTGAGAACCTAAAGAACAAGCTCATATGACGCTCCCAGCCTGAACGACCGAATGCAACGTGGACGCGACGCTAACGCGACACGATACTCGACGCTTTCAGCCTGAATGTACCTTGACCATCTTGAAAACTGTCTTGTCGTACTCGGCTTACTGTAGATCTTATGAAAACGCATTGCATAGGCGCTGGTTAGAGACCGGATGAGATCAGATTTTTATTTTTTCCCCTACTGACCAGATATATTATTAAGAAGAAACTGTTATTAAACACTTACCAAATTGGGAGTTCATTATAAGTTTGAAGACCTCTGTTCAGACTCCCCGTAATTAAAACAGAATCTGTCCAAACTAGCCCCCGACAGAAAAAAAGACAATAAATAAAAGCATATGCTTGAGAGTAATAGAATCAATATTAACTCTCTTCTAGAATCATGAAAATTTGCCTTACAATTTGTTGCGGTCAACATGTCGTTACGACACTATTTCTTGCAAAATAAAGCGATCTTTGAAAGAATTGATATTTTTAGAAAATTATTGTGTATTGGAAAAATTACTTTATTAAATTAGTTATTTATAATAATTGTCAATTCAATGCAAATTCACATTTTAATAAATTTGAAAGAAAAAATAACTGAAAAGCTTAAATAGGGATTTTTAAAGTATTTCTAAAATGTGAGATGTAAACATTAAAATTTAATATTTATAATAAGCAGATTTTTACGTATCACAATATTGTTAAGTGGAAAAATATAGATATTTATGTAGTAAATAATTGTTTTTTAATGCAACTTAACCCTTTTACATCTATTTTATCTCATCTGTCTAAATCAACTTATGTAGATTTTTTTTTGATAAATTATATTAATTGGATGTTTTATTAATTTGGAAGACTATATTTTTTATTCAATTAAAACAAAATATTTAAAAATAAAAACACTATAATATAAATTGCATAATTGGCAATACATTATATACCATGACAATATATTATATACAAAGGAAATAATTATTTTAAAATCATTTTTTAGATCAACCGAAATCAACACCGTTCGTTACATAATCAAAGAAGCAACAACTCTTAATAATTCAGCTATGGTGTTAGATGTACGAACTCCTCCGAAGATTCAGAACGAAATTCAACAGAAATTGCATCACAAGCAAACCATGGAATCTTCACACGCAGGAATTGCAATACCTGTAGATGAAGATCTAGAAACGCTCGAAGCGAGTACCAAGAAAATGAATTTTTATAAAATCGAAAGGCCTACTACCACCAACAGCGGTTTATCAACATGGATTCTTCTAAGTGGTCAAACTGCATCGACTACTACAAAACCATCCACAAAAAAAGCAAGTATAAAACCTGTTGTAACAAAAGAGGAAAAGAAAAATGATACTGTAATAATTAGTGACAGACCAATGAAAATTATTAAGCCCTTATTTAAACAGAGAACTACAACTTCAAAACCACCTATAACAACCCCCGCTAAGAATACAACTATTAAATCAGTCGTGTCTACCACTAAAAGCACTACCATTAAGCCAAACAAACTAACCAAAATAAAAGCCTCTTTACTAAATAACAGTACTAATAAGCAAGCTATAAGTAAAAATAATTCTACAGTTTTGAGTTCAGTATCTACCACAACGACTGGAAAACCTAACGTGGATAAACTTCCAACAAAAACTAAAAGACCGGTAACAACTAGTACAAAAGCACCAGTTACTGACGTATCTTCAAATACTACAAATTCTGTAAGTTTACCGGCTGAAGCAAAAGAAGGTGAACAAGAATTACCTTCTAATGATAAAAGAAAAGACCAGAAAAAGAAGAAAAATAAAAACAAAAAACGAAAACAAGATAAAAATAGTAAAGAAGGTGTCAATAATAAACTAAAACAAGTTGAATCAACTGGAACGCAACTTTATAGTTACCTTAGAAGCGAAATTATACCTGTAACGGTAGGTGTCAGTTTGGTTGGTCTTCTAGTAACTGCGGGATTAGCTAGTTATTATTTTCAACCTTTCGGAGCTTTCAGTTTGAGAAGAAATGATCCGCAAGATAGAAAAGATACCGCTGGAGGATACTATTACCAAGACGATCACTATTCGAATTCAATACGAGAAGAGGAAGCTTTCGGCAAAGTAATTGCTGGAATGGATCTTAAAGCAAACGATGATATCTATAAAACAAGTACGACCCAAAGTCCGTATCAATCTGACATTCGGTACCGCCAAGTAGACAGGAGATCTCAAATATTTACCAATCCATCGACATCTACCAGCGAATACAGGAATCCCATGGAATCATCGTACGATCAATCGAAACCTTATAACGAGAATAAGTTCGTGGTGGGCAGTGTTATAAATGAAGATATCCAAGAAGTAACACCGGCTGTAGTTCCTGAACATGGGCCTCGAAATTTAAAAGTGGACGTACAAAAATTTGTAGTTGGTAGCCTTCCCAATAGTGTTATTGGGAATGGAGCTGCCCCAAGAAATCTGAGGTTACGCAATAGGCGAAGAAGACAAACAGAAAGTGAAATTTCGCCTAATAAAAACGAAATTATTAACGAAGAATCTTTTGATATACCAGCTTTATTTATGCTTCAGCATAAGCAAAAAGTAGATATAACTGATGAAGATTTACCCACGGGAAATATTAACAAATCTGCGTTGTAAGCTTTAGGTAATAATTTGTTGTAATAACTGGCAAGTTCTCTAGATTTTAGAGTTAATTTTATTTTATTGAGCAGGAAAAAATATGTTGGTATTTTTTTAATATATTATTAAACAAATTATTTAATATTTTGATCTTAATTATATGATAAAGTAAATAAAACAAAACAGATTAATAACAAATTATCTATATTAGTAAAACAGGAAAAAATATTTATTAAACTCAAAAACTGTTGTGTTATATCGTTTACTTAAAATACAGTATAATATCTATTTTTTATTAGCATATAATAAGTTGAAAAAATGTTTTGAAATAGGGATTATAATACTGTTTATAATAATTTAATAATACGCTCTCTATTAGTTATATTGTTTAAGAATATTTAGGTTAAGAAAATTTGTAAATATTTTTATCTATTCTCCATTCATTTATGCTTAAAAATAATTCAGGCATAAGAATTGAATCATGATATCCACTTTTAAAGTAATTATAAGATTAGTTTCTATTTTCAATAATTTGATTTGTTTCTCTTTGTTTTCTATTATTTTTGTTACCAAAAAAGTTACATACTTATATAAAACTATTTATTGTATGGTATTAAAGAAACCATACATAATATTCGGTATTCACACAACATGGTGAAGGAAATGAATTTGATTGAGGTAGTTTTCAACAACACGTTCTGTCAAATCTTTTAGCATTAAGAGCGTACATATTAGATTTATTGTGCGTTTAAGACTGTTTACTTTATAAATAAAATAGTACATTTTTAGATTACTTATTTCTTTACGCCATACTCGTCCAACCATTATATACACATATTTATGCTACAGTGAAAGTCGGAAATTCAGTGATTGTTAACATTTACTAGGAAATGCTACCAATTACGGGATGGACCATGGAATGTGGTATTTTAAAGAGATTTGTCGACTTTTCCTAGTAATTTCTAACAATCACTATATAGTAAAAGTGACATTTACTAAAGGTTGCTAGCTTATTCTATTGCCCAGGGCGAATGTGGTGAGGAAGAATGTTGGGGGAAGTTAGAACAAATAAAACTTTTAAGAATATTGGATCACCTCAATATTCAAGCTGATGAACATATCTTAAAATTACAATTTACTTCTTTAATATATTTATTAAAAATTATAGAAAATAGCGACATAACATTCTAAATATTAAAAGGGAAAACATGTTATTTTAACGCGTACAAAACAATTAAAAAAACATTCATAAACATTAAATTACATGGTACAAGGTTTTTTTGATAAAGTTCTTCATCGTGGACAAAATAAAGTATGTCCAAATTTTCTTCAACGGGAGTTATTTTTTAAACTCGCTACTTCAAGCATATGAAAACGTTTAATAAGTTCATAATCACTAGGTTCCTTAATATTTTTTTTTCTCTTGCCCGCTTAACTTTTGCTATGACTTCATTATATTGCAAAAATGAAAAACAAGCGAGTGCCTAGTTTACTTTAATCTTTCACAGAAAATTTCTTCCATAGGGGAAATACCGCACAGCACTTTTTACAACGATAACAAAACAATTAATACAATTATACATAACGACAAAAAACAAAGCGAATTTACTGTCTGTCACTTTATGTCTGTCAACGTTGCCAACGTTTAGCCCAATTCAATGTTATCCTTATATTGCCTATTTTTCAACTTATCCTTATTTATCTTATATTATACAACAGGTGGCAACCGCGCTAACTGAATCTTTCGAACTCACTGCTATCGTCCAGGCAATGCAGAAGTGTCTAGCCCTAGCAGTCAACTATTAAGCTTGACCAATCAGGTTGGTTAGCGTGGTTATTTGGAGTGTGTTAATTCTAGCGATGGGAACTATCGAATGAATTAGACTATCGAATGGTTAATGAATGAATGATTTCAACTATCGAATGGTTTTATTCGAATAAAATCATTCATTCATTTGTATACTAAAGCATATGTGACAACCTCGCCGTGCGACTAAATGGTTATCGTTGAGCCACGACTATCGAATGTTCTGATAAATGAAATTTAGTATTCGTTTGATTTTTGTATGCGTCAGTGCATGATTAGTTCTTCCAAATTTTTATAACTTCGCCGTATAAATACTGTGCTATTTTTGCGTTTATTAAAATAGTTAAAATACTAAAATAGTAGTTATTTTTTAATTTTATTTATTGACGATTGTGTGCATGTGCAGGTGGTCAAAATTTTTCCGAAAATTTGTGTGGTTTTCCGTAGTCCGATCTTTCAATTATTTAATTTTATATGGTATATGGTCTATTTTTTAATGGGAAATTTTGAGAAGTAGCAATTTTTAAGAGAGATGAGATGAACTTAAATTAATTTTAAAAGTACATATTTGTATTTTAGATGTTTTAATAATATGAATTAGTTGAACTTAATAATCATATTAAAGTAATGTGGTTAAGTAAATGGTTATCGAACTCAAACTATGGGGTGAGAAAATTAAAATGAAAGTTTTACACGTGCCAATTTAAAAAAAAAGTTAACGATGTTTGTAATTTGTTTATGCTAATTCTCTTACATGTAGTTTTTGCGAAGAAATATTTCATTTATTTTTTAAAGTAAATGCCAGTAAAAGTAAATATAATTTTTAAATAGTAATATAAAGCACCTAATATAAATAATTTTGATTTCTAATTTTTTATTTATATTTTCTTTCCATTACACTGCATGCTTAGAAAATTAATAAATGTTTATATTTCATGATTTTAAAATTTGTTGTTAATATAACAAATTAGTTCTGTAATTATTATTATTTAATAAACCAACGTTGCCACACACAAAAAATTTAGAGACTATATTATTTTTAAATAGGATCTAATATAAATAATTTTGACATCTAATTTGTCGTTTATATTTTGCTACTACTTAAAAAAAATATTT